TACGTTTTTTTTTTTTTTTTTTTTTTTAAATTAAATTGAGATCTAAATAACGAAAAAACAGGGGAGAAGTCGGAAAATGGATCGCTATAATTGCTGTCGTATTGCGCCTTTTCTTCCCCCGGCGTTTTCCAGGTATATCTTTGTAATTAGCACAAGATTTTATCGACTTATAAAAACACAATTAAGGTATTTTTGTTAGAAAAACGAGATTTATGACATCAAAATTTGAGACAAAAGTTCAAGCATAAAAAAAGTCGTGAAAAATAGGAAATAGAGACCAAAGTAGAAAAATAAGTCAATGTGTTTGAAAAAACATAGTTTTGCATACAACACCAACATTTAATGTGGATAACAACATATTTTCATTGCAAAAATCAAGTTTTGAAACAAAATTTTAAGTATTAAAAATCATGAAAAATATGTAAACAGATAACAAAATAGAAAAATAAGTCAATGTGTCCAAAAAAACATTAGTTTCGCATACAACACCAACATTTAATGTGGATAACATATTTTTATCGCATCAAAATTTCGAAACAAAAGTTAGTATTAAAAAAAGCATGAAAATAATAAATAAGGACAAAAATATAGAAATAAGTTAATGTGTCCGAAAAAACTTGTAAAAAAAAAATATGATGCATGCAGACTGGTTGGAATTGCCGGGAGCTTTGATCCTCTTGCTCGTGGTGGCTCCATCCCTTTTTGCCGACAAAATAAGGGGAAGTATAGTCGGAGTTTTCATTTGTCTTGCCATCGGTTGTTACTTGCTCCAAGAGCACATTCGAGCATCCGGGGGTTTTAGAAACTCTTTCACAAAGAGCAACGGTATTTCAAACTCGATCGGGATTCTACTCCTCTTTCTGTATCCGGTTTGGGCTCTCGTCATCTACCTTCTTTAGGCCTTTTGACCGAGAGTTCGACTTCTCGAAAGGCTTAAGCATATGTTTTAGTTATTAAGTTTGTTGTTTCTTGAGTGATTTGTATTTTATGTCAAACAAATGAAGGAAAAAGAAAAAAGGGTAAAAAACAATGAAATTGAACTCTTTTGAGTGGGTATTGTAAATGATATTTGTTGTGATTGTTGTTTGAATAATTCATTTTCAGGAATTATGACAAACAATGTTTACTTATGTTGGTGGTATTGGTTTAGAAATTACAGAGTCGTTTCATCTAATTTCTTTGCTTTTCATATTTTCTCAAGTTCACATAAGTTGAGAGTGTTATAAATGGGATTCTATGGTTTTCATTTCACATTTTCACATAAAAAATTAAGACAGTGTATTTAATTTACTTCAGTTCAGTACTAATTATGAGCACATAAATCACTCAAAAACAAACAAATCATTCAGGTTATTAGTATCATACAAAAAAAAAAAAATATAGTTGCTTGGCTTATTCTAGTTGACTAATTGTATCAATGTTTTTATTTTTTATCTATAATCTATTATTTCGAAAAAAAAATGTACACTCATTCTTATGTCAGGCAATTTAACAATTAGATAGATCAATAATTCATTATACATTTTTTTAGTAAAAGTACATACTTATGTGTATACGCGTTATTTTGACACCATAACATTTCAATTTAAAAATAAAAAATAAAAATACATGTATGTTGTAAAAATATGACTATGTAATAGTTGACCTAACAACAGGCTTACCCTATACAATTAGCACCATAAATGCTATACTTAACATCCTATGCAGAGTAAAAAGTAAAAACTAATCCTTTGTTAATCAAATAATTGCATTATGCACTATGAACATGAAAATGTAGTGATTATTTCAGGCAAATAATACTGGGAAAAAATTGAAGTAGGATTAACAACAGGATTGACCTGCTAATAGGTTAGTCTACTAGCTTAGAATAATACATACAAACATTAATTCTACACGCGGCCTATTAGCTCAATTGGTTAGAGCGCCGTGCTAATAACGCGAAGGTCTCAAGTTTGAGTCCTGCATGGGCCATACATTGTATATTTTTTTTACCTTCTTATAAAAAACTATTGGTTTTTACATGGGATTTTACATTATTTTTTACAGACAAATTAGGCAAACACTCATATAGTCATATATATATATATATCTAGCAAATGCAGAAGCATTTATGAATGGTAGTGCATTATGCAATGCTTTTACAGAAGAGAGAGAAATTTCATTTATGACAGCACATTGTTAGTTGGATTGTGAGGTGAAATATGATATAGTATTTCCAATTCTCTAGTGCCTCAATATATATTAGAACACACCAACAAGTCACCAACCATATATGTTATCACACACATTTATGTATATATATATATATATATATATATATATATATATATATATATTCAATTGCAACTTTTTATTTGGTTATTATGTTCGTCTTGAAATAATAGTGCTTCTTTTGCCATCAAATCACTCATTTGTTCCATATATAACACTGATGAGCCAAAATAATCGACTCACCGATCGAGATTGCCGGTTGAACTGCCTCATCTGGATTGCGTGAGTATTTGGACATCTCGATGGCCTTTGTCTTCAAGAACCGGATCGACCTGCAAAGCGCCGGTGCAGGCCCCGGCGTATACACTCCGACGCTCAAGTTAGGAAACGGATATTTTGATCGTGTATTTTAAGTAATCTTAAGAGCTTAGGATTAGAAAATGAACCTGGTTCCTTATTTATAAGGAATATAATGACTTACTCCCCAAGATAATGAGTTTCCTCAACAAATTGGAATTTCGATGTTCCTCAATAACTGTGTAGATATACACCAATTTTCATGAATATCTTTAACTAATACCGTGTATCTCATAAATTATGCTCTAACCTCCCTTGGACCGGCCTTATCCGAGCTAACCGGTCAGGTTGATCCACGGAGTTATTTCTGGTGCTACATCAAACATTGTTTCGAAATTCTGACCGACCTGCCGTGTTGACCCGAGACCAGTTCAGGTGGGTTGTTCAGACTGAGTAACACGGGACCGGTCAAATTCGGTTAAAACCCAATTAAACCGGCATTGACCTAGTTAACCCGTCGTTAAACACGACTTGATTCTGTCATTAAATATTTATTTATTTTTGTTGCTTTTAGCGGAATAGAATTCCATATTTCAAATAGATTTTCCAATATTGAGACATTCGATGGAACTGATTTTTCGTTGGGTTTTTTTATTGAATTTTGACTATTTCAATGATATTTCTTTAGTGATTGGAATTATCCGCACGACTAACAATTCATATATATGGAAATTATAGTTTTCAACAAAAATTCTTACAATAATAAACTGTTGGAAAAAGTATTGTCATTCATCAAATTTCAACTGAAATTTTAAAGGAAATTTAATTCAAACAAAATATTTTAGCGTTGAGTTATCAATTTGAATTTTCCAACAAAAAATTATAATATTGGAATATTCGTAGAAATTTTTGTTTGTAATATTTTTCGTTGCAATTTGATATTCTTTTAGTGCATGTATATTGTATCAATTTTAATGAAATACAACAAATTGATGTAACTTTTGTTTTTTTAATATATATCAAAGCGGCATTTTAATTTCCTTCGGACTTTCAGTTCTTTTTCACTTTATAATTAACAGTAGAAATGTGAGAATAGATTAATGGTAGTAGAGTTCAAGTATTTAGGTCAAAATAGGATAATGATATTATTTATGAGACCACGTAATTGAATGAGGACATTTAATATTTTAAATAATAATAGACCATAAGTAGTATTTAGCATATCTAGATTTGTAGGCAACTGGGGTATATAAGCTAAGACTTCGGAGGTATATATGTTTATTATTATTTCTTAATATATATTCAAACACTAAAATGATTGCTCTTTATTCGCAATTTTCATTTTTATTTAAATAGCATGTTATTCAATTTTTATGAGATCAGCACTGTGGACCCGATTTCTTCTTCTTCTTCTTCTTCGAATCAGTTTTCGATTACATGCGGAAGTGCTGATAGGATTTTCAACGTAAAGTTTTCGATGCTTAAGTCAGTCTATAATATTCAAAGAAGCTACTCTTTGATAATTAAACTCTTTTATAACAATACTACCAACATGTCTCTTCATGCACATATATCACACATAAAAGGGCCACCTTTGATATTTTTGTTCTTATTTTCATGTCTCTACCTTACTTTGTCCACTCATTTTTAATTCTTTAAAAGCACTAAAGTTCCCTTTCTCTCTTTTGCATGTAAAAAGTACAAGTATATCAAACATCACAAAATCATTACAATTACAAATTATTGTGATAAAAGGCTAAAAATTTGTGCCCCCACATCTCATTTTGAACCCCTTATCATTACATGATCATCAAAAATTACACATTTGATGCAACTTTGCAAGACACAAATTCAAACATATCCAAATCACAATCCAATACCAAAATACCATTAACAAAGCTCACTACCATAATAAATCGTTGGGAATCAGATTTCGTATTCCACTTTATCGATCAAAATCAATCACAAGTACGTATTTATTCTCTACACAAACGACTAAACGAAGAAAGTGGAACAGAAAATCCGACCCAATTGTCACAAGTCTCGGTCATCACGAGAGCAACACCTAATAATACTACCGAGCCATTCTTAGCGCTCCACTTCAATTTGTCCGATTTCAACCACCACCACCACCACCGACCGCCACCTCCGACCGGCAACATTCCCAAAATCAAAACCCATCTCAACTTTTGTTGTAAGTACATAGAAAAATACAACACTCAACCCAACTCTAAGCATTAATGATCATTAATTGCACTCTCCCCCACCATCTAACTAAAAATTCGTATAATAATAAATGTTATCACTAGCCAATCACTAGAAATTCTTTAAATGCCCAATTTCGAATTAATTTCACATTTTTTTTTTCTCCCTTCATTTAATGCCCTCTCATCAGTAGTCGCAGACAAGGCTATTAAATTCCTCCCCCATGAGACCTCTCTTTTCCCAACTTTGAAAATAAAAATTTAACGTCCGTCCACGTGTCAAAATCCTCACCGTCTGTTGAACCTCTCCGGGGACAACAACGCCTCTGGGTCTCCGCTCCTCAGCCGGCTCGACGAGAAGAGCGCGGGCCCCGCCGCCCCGGCCGACGGCCGCATGAACATTGGGCTGGCGAAGGACTTCGTCCGCCGCGACGAGCTGCCGCCGCCGGAGGCGGCGGACAGGCCGTGCCGCGCGCTCGATTCGGAAAGGGGGAAAAACCCGCTGATGCTCCGCCGCCGGAAGAACGGCGATTTCATGCCTCTGTAGTACCGGAACGAGAAGACACGAGGCTTTGTCAGCGAGCTGAACGGAGACGGCCGCTTGCTCCACAGGCCGCCGCCGCCGCGGCGGTAGCGCCACGGAGAGGCGGTTACCGGTTCGAGGACTAACCGCTCCGATCCCAAATTCCGCTCGAATCCGAAGGAGT